CACACACACACACACACACACACACACACACACACACACACACACACACACACACACACACACACACACACTATGTCTCTATTCTTGTGGGGACTTTCCATTGACTTCCATTCATTTTTTTTGAAATTTTATATCCTAACCCTGACCACAAACCCTAAGGCTAACCTCACAGGTACCTACCTGACCCTAAAACTAACCTAAACTCTATTCACATCTTGGTCCTAAACCCAATCCCCAACCCACCAATGGCATTAAAACCAATCAGGGACTCAGGTCCCCAAATGCACCAGTTGTCCCCAAATATAGGTGTTTTGTCTTGAAATTGCCCCCAAATGTCACCAAAAGCAACCCCACACACACATAAACACTAACATGTTTAGATGGACATTGTTTTGATATGTTTTTAGCAACAGGTTTTCCGAAACTGACGTTTATTGTTTGTATGTTCTCTATTTARCTGTGTGGAGTAGGGAACTCGCCCGCCAGCGTTAGGATTTCCCTGGGTTCAGTTGCCTCCTGAATACAGAGGCTCTGGGCTGAGAAATAAAGTAGGTAGCAGGCCTGCTGCACAAAGGCATGCTGGGAAAGTTCKTCAATCACAGCTAGTACTAACAGTCAAAGAGTTAAAGCTGGAAGAGTGTGACTTCCCAAAACTTGAAATCCAAACATAACAGGAACTCACCAAAACAAAGAAAACCAGAGTTTTGTTTATTGTGCTCGTTTTATTCTTTTTATTCTTTACATGCATTGTGAAAAAAGTCAGTGCAAAAACTTTACATGTTTCCATGTCATTATATGCATTTTAAAGATGTTAATGTGTTAGATATCTCCAATATTTTAAAATATAATTCTACGGAGTCCTCCGGTGACCTCGAGTGTGGCTTCGAGATAATAATGTGTGGCCACGCGTTATATTTTTGATATTTTTTAAACATGTTGAGCTGTGTCTCTTTATGAGAGATCTAGACGTTGTTGGAGTCATATTATTTATGAATATGTTGTGTTTGTTTTTTAACTGTTCAATGTACTCCATATTATTATTATTAGTTGGTGACTGTTGGTGAATGCAAGATTATACCAACATGGTTCAATCTAAATGGATCATTTTTATAGTATTTACCAGTATTTATGAGATTACATTGAACGCCCCAGGTTAATGTTGGGAAACAGATTTTTTTACTGTGTTTCTGAACATGACTTCAACTGTTTCTGCAGTACAGACACGAGTAGCAAGAGGAGCCCATTTTGAGTGTTGAGCAAAAAAAATTAAGTTTTTGGACAAAGACAACTTCAGTCGTCACCCATGTCTTATAGCTGCAACAAATAATTCTAAGAATTACTTCATACTTAACTGCAAGTGACTGAAGTGTGTCATTCATTCTTATATTAGAATAAAATGAAATTCAAACTTGTTTATGTTGACAATCAACAGACACTGAATGGAAATGACTGTGATAATTGTCTGGTGGCCACACATTATTATTATTATTATTATTATTATT